TAAAGAAAGATATTATTATTTTTTTGCTGTTGCTGTTGGATTTTTAAATTTTTTTCTTCACAATTTATTCATTATATATCCCATTTGAAGCCCCTCCTTCAACTCCCCTCCCTCCCTCTTTTTCCCATCCCCTTCCCCTAGTCCACTGTAAGGGGGAGTTCTCCACTCTGGCCATCTGCCCAGAGTTTGTTAAGTCTCATCAGGACTGCCTGGATCCTCTTCCTCAGTGGCCTGGCAAGGCTGCATCATCTGGGGCAAGTGATCAGAGAGCAATCAACTGAGTTCGTGATAGAGGCAGCCCCTGCTCTCCTCACTCAGAGAGCCACATGGAGACTGAGCTGTCAATTGGCCACATCTGATGAGGGGTCTAGGTCCTGTCCATACGTGGCCCTCTCTTGGACCCCCTTTTAGTTTTGTTGGTCTCTGTGTGGCTCCTGTCCCCTCCATGTCCCTCTAATCCCACCCCTCTCTTCCCCCATTTTATTTTTTTCAAATCATTAATCTAATTCAGGAAAACACTTTTAACAAGCACTGCCTTAGAAATGATCATAGTACTGGGTGTGGGGTACACACCCTTAATCCTAGCAGTCAGAAGGCAGAGGAAGGAGGATTTCAGGGAAGTTGAGGCCAGCCTGGTCTACATTTCAAGTGCTAGGACAGCCAAGGCTACCTGTGAGACCCTATTTCAAAAACAAAACCCCTAAACAAACAGAGAATGACCACAGCGAAGGCTGATGCTGCAGCTCAGTTTCAGGTGATCCTCAGGCAATGCACCTCCCCTTACAACAGTCTGCTCATCTAAGCTTAGCTGGTAAAGTGTGTGTGTGTGTAGGTGTGTGTGTGTGTGTGTGTGTGTGTGTGTGTGTGTATGTGTGTGTGCGTGCACGCATGCGCACGAGCATCTTTACTGTAGGCAGAGAAGCAACGCATAAGAGGCAAGAAAGAAATTTGATTCCACACGTGTTGTAGGCGGTGATTAATATTTACTATTGATATATCTTTTAGTAATGCTGCTGTTAATCCTAAGCAGCTGTATAACCAAATCACCACACAGAGACTGGGTTTATTTATTTAATCTAGAACACAATGCTGGGCAATAGTTACTCCCTCTTAAACCTCCAAGCCCTCATAGTTTCCTAACATTTAGATTTTACCCATTATTCTTGCTTTTTGTGAAATCTGGTTCATTCTCCACGTCGTTCCAAGATCTCTCCCCCAGCTCTGCTCTCCTAGCTCTCCTCTAGCCCTTTTTCCTCCCACTCATTTCCTGCCCTCTGGCTCCTCCCACTGCTCAACATTTTGTGGCTAGTTGCTTTATTTTGGCCTGTTTACACAAAGTTGAGACAGGATGCTTACAATAAGTATCACAATGCAATATCTGGATTGAAACCAGAGTGTGTGTATGTGTATGTGTGTGTGTGTGTGTGTGTGTGTGTGTATGTGTGTGTTGGTGGTGGTGGTGGTGGATCAGCATTTGAATGAACAAGAGTAAGGTGTATATATTTCAAAAGAACATTATACCAACAAACATGACTCGGTTAGCCAGGCTGGTTCACACTTCTACAATTTGACTCCAGGCAGTTTATTTTAGACATATTTAAGTACAGTACATTTTGGAAAAGAGTGTCCTGGTAACAATTATCCCAATCCCAGGTGCACACTAAAGCTTAAGGCATGACGTCTAAACTCCTTTGCAAAGTACATGTGACCTATACCATGATAATGAATTCTGTAGCTAAAGGGAAATGGTGTGGTAGAGACCAAAATAGTGTAGAGATCAGCAGGGTACAAAGCGCAGGTGACATCTCCCCTAAGGATGGGTTCTATTGACTGAGAAGCAAAGCTAAAGCTAAAGGGTCAAGAGAAGAAGGGTCTGGGATGAGTGTAATAGCCTGGGAATACAGCTGTTGGCTTGCCCTACAGATAGCACAGTCACCAGGCTACTAGCCACTTTCACTCCCAGCGTTCTGGGTAGAAAACAGGTACACACATCCCTACCACTGAAGAGACAGCCTGTGTGCTTACTATTCCTGCTTCTCCTCGTGCTTCTCTGTGAACTCTTGCCCTCTACAGTGAAGTCACCTGTGAAAAATCAGTAATGGAAGTTTACACCTGAACTATTAAAAAAATAACCTCAGTTCAGAATTAATACAATATGTTCTTTTCAATAAGTCACACAAACTATTTGTTACCCCTTAGCCACACAAAAGTAGAACTCACTTAGAAATAAATAAAAAATTCATTTAAAGCAAAATTGTTTTATATCGTAAAATAATAATATTGCTACTTCTTGTAAACTTGAATATTGAAGGGTGTTAGTTTCCTTTAAATGTACATCTTACAGTAATTTTGTTCACAGGAATCAAAATAAGAACAAAGACCTACTAAGTGAGAAATATCTTGTTCACATAATAATTTCTTATATCACGTGAGTTTGAAGTGTGTGAATGTGTGTATACATGTGCATAAAAGTAGCACATGCTCCCATAGTCTTTGAGAGACATGTTAGGGGAAACTTTCCTGTAATGAGGGCTTTGGAGGTGGGGGTAGTAAGGTTCTAGTTTTCAGGTGAATAGAACATATAGTCTATAGCATTGTATCAAAAATAAAACACACACATGCACACCATAGAACAAATAAACAAACAAAGGAGGAGGAAAAGAAAATTAAACAAGAAGGGAAGAGGAACAGGAAGAAGTATCAGAAGGATGGCAACAAGTTTTCCTGTGCAATATGACAGGCCAGTCACTCCTCTACATTTTCCAGGGGCTTCACCCCTCAAATCCTAATAAACAACACAAAGAAGGCAGATACCTCAGTGATCCTCCACTTTGTAAAAGGCCCATGATGCAGAGGATCCAGAATGTGTGCCTGGTGGCGTCAGCAGCATAGGCAGGAGTCACACTCAGGTAAGCCTGCCCAGAGGACAGTCAATTCTGCCTCCAAGTAGGAATTGGCAAAAATCAAAACACATGCTTCAAGGATCAGCATACATAATATCAGTGGAAGCAAAGTCCATGTGCCTGTAGGAGGCAGTGCTCATTTCTTTGTTGTCTGTCTGTCTAGCTGAAACGTAGACTCTGTGCAATCCAGACAACAACTTTTTATAACTATCTCTTTGTAAAAATGCACTTATTGTTCCTTTGTTGGGGACAGGTTTCCCTGGGTTGCTCAGGCTGGCCCCAAACCCCTGAGCTCAACCAATCCTCCTGCCTCTTTTTCCCAAGTGTCTAGTCGACACTCAGCTGAAACAGGCTGTTTTTTTTTTTTTCTCCTGTAATTTTAGGTTCACAGCAAAACTGAATAGAAGACGTGCTGCTGCCCCATTCTCAACACCCACAGTAGAGTGCCTGTGAACCTACACTGATAGTGTTATCCACCATCCGCAGCTGACAGCGAACTTCACTCTTGATAATGCCTTCTACAAGATTAGACAAATGGTTGGCACACGTACAATTACAGAATCACACAGTTTATTTCCTGTTTTAAATACTGAAGAGGGATATTCACAACATATCCCTTTACACAGACCAAAAGGAGACACTTTCCAGAAAGAACTAAACCTTGTAAAGGCACTGCTACCTTAACATGTTGGTGAAAGTTTGTTAAATATTAGTGTTTTGAGTGAAAGGGCATAGCTAGAAAAATAAACAGAATGACACAAAAACACTATGGGGAAGGAAAGTAGCTTCCAGAAAAGTGGCTGACAGACATAAGTCCTTCCTTCCTTCCTTCCTTCCTTCCTTCCTTCCTTCCTTCCTTCCTTCCTTCCTTCCTTCC